TTTAATAATAATTATTATTTTCATTTTGGCGAGGCAGTGGCGCAGTAGGTAGTGCTGTCGCCTCATAGCAAGAAGGTTGCTGGTTTGAACCTCGGCTCAGTTGGCGTTTCTGTGTGGAGTTTACATGTTCTCCCTGCCTTCGCGAGGGTTTCCTCCGGGTGCTCCGGTTTCCCCCACAGTCCAAAGACATGTGGTACTGGTGAATTGGGTGGGCTAAATTGTCCGTAGTGTATGAGTGTGTGTGTGTGGATGTTTCCCAGAGATGGGTTGCGGCTGAAAAGGCATCCGCTGCGTAAAAACTAGCTGGATAAGTTGGCGGTTCATTCCGCTGTGGCGACCCCGGATTAATAAAGAGACTAAGCCGACAAGAAAATGAATGAATGATTGAATTATTTTCATTTTGTCAAATAACATGGTAACTCAGTTAGCAAAATTGCTTCGTTTTATAGTGAAAAAATACTGTTTTAAAAATTTAATTTTATATCAAGTAATTTTATTGTTTAATTTAATAGGTATTTATAATAAAATGTACTTCTACCGAATACAATTATTAATAATAGGTTTAATCCTACCAGTGCTTCCCACACATATACTTTACTTGGGCAGGCCCCCCAGGTATATTAACGGCTGCCCAAGTATATTTGGTGATCATTTGCGATCGATTAACTACTGGAAATTCTTCTCTTGCCCTACACATTTAGACCTGTCAACACTCCCACAGATTCTGATGCTCTGCAGACTTACAGAGACGTGTCTTTTGGGCACTTAAATATATGTCCGGCTGAGGATTCTAAATGTCTTAAAATGTCTGGAATTCCACTTTCGCTTTCTAAAGATGTCGTTAATCATATGCGTTTTTGCATTACCTTTTTATTTAAGTCTATTTTTGCTTGGATTCACAGTTGACTGTGCGAGAGAAACATTAAATAAATAGCCTAATTCTTTGATAAACGACTCTATATACTCAGAGACCACAAAATGACATATTTACTGGCTGCAAAATATTTGTACACCATTAGAAATGGTTAATCAACTCATTTGCCTTATGTACATAATCTATACTTTTTATTCTTGCAATTATTATAATTTTAGCACTATTTTTATTCCTTTTTACTGTCATATATTTCTCATTTTGCTATATATTTTATTAATTTGATGATTTTAATATATATTACATACTGTATACATATCTAAAATGCTTTGGCAATCCTGTACAAAATGCCATGCCAATAAAGCAACTTTTATGTTCCGTGAGTAAAAGGTTAGTTTCAGTCCGGCTACCACAGTAAATATATTTCAAACCCATGGGAAGCACTGCCTACTGATAATTATATAGTGGAAACATATTTTTAAAACTTATTTTAATTTTATACAATTAATTTTATACGTATTTAATTTTAAAAGTATTTCTAATGAAAATGTTCACCTACTGAATAAACGGATTACTAATAGGTTCACTCCTACTAGTGGAAACATATTTTAAAATCTTATTTCAATTTTTTATAATTAATGTTAAATTTAATTCTTTAATTTTAAAAGTATTTCTGATAAAAATGTGCTCTTCTCCTACTGAATAAAATTATCAATAATGCGTCTATTTAATTTTTTCATTTTATTGCACATACTCATTATTTTCCTAGCTTAGGAAGTATATGTTCTTAGATTTTTGCATCAATAAAAACTTAAATTGTTCAATTTATTTATTTTTAATTATTATTTTAACATGTAAATCAGTTGCTTAATTTTCAGCTTCTTAAAAAGTTTAACTTTTAACTTTATAGCAACAACATATTAAAATTTTGTTGTTAATTTTACATTTGATAATTTCATTCATTCATTTCAAAAATACTTAAATTAAAACGCACTCCTAAAGAATAAATGAATTAGTAAGTCTTTTTGTTTCGCATCCTCATCACATTCCTAGCTTGATTAGCTTATATTTTTCTCTAGTTACTGCAGCTGCAAAAAAAAAAAAAAAGAAAACAAGTTTTGCTAAATATTGTGGACTCTGCACTGAAGTAAACTAATCTGTTATTTGTTTATTGATTTTTAGTTCGATGGCTGTGTCAAAACTGGAGCCGGAGCTTAGAGAATCCATCATCTCTCAGTACGGGGAGCAAATCAGTCACGTTTACTTCAACAAGGGCCTGTGAGCGCTGGACACACACACATTTTTGTTGATAAGGTTGTAAAAAAGAAGCGTTTTGGTTTGACATTTTGCTTTACGACCCAGAGAGATTTGCTGCAGTAAAGCCTAATATATGAAGAGTTGTTTTACAAATGGCCCTAAATGCTGCCGAGAATCAGTTTGATTTGATAGATAAGTTTTACAGAAAATTTCTGGAGATTGCTTGAACCTGATTTAGTCCTCCTGTCATGTATGATTTACCCTGAATAATTGCAAGCAGATTGTGAAGTTTGAAAGATATTTCCCTCTGATGCCAAACTCCATCTTCATTACCACATACATCTCTCAGGAAGCTGTCATTTTAAAGGTCTGATGCTTTAATGCCTTCTAAAGCCATCGGTTTTAACATGTTCTTAAACTGACAGAAACTTATCGTGAAATATATATCATGTTTATGTTTGAAATACCAGTTACAAGCATAAACTTGTGAGTCTTTAAAGGGACACTTCACCCAAAAATGTAAATTCTGTCATCATTTACGCACCCTTCAATTGTTATAGATTATTTTTTATAGATATACAGTATATTTCAAAGAATGTTGGAAACTGGTAGGTGTTGACTTCCTTGTTTTTTAATAATATGGAAGCTAATAGCTACTGGTTTCCAACATTCTTCAAAGTATCTTCTTTTGTGTTCAACACAGAAGTTTCTAACCACTTGAAGGTGTGAATGGTGAGGAAACCTTCACTTTTGGATGAATGCTCCATTTAAAGTTCAGGGTTAAAGAGTGTTTTGTGGATGTAGTGTGCCTTGCATTTACATTTAAAAAAAGGAAAGCAAAGATTGATGCGCTCGTAGTCTGACCTCACTGTGAACTATCTGAGTTCTGTACTTGTTTTCATCATTATGAGATGATGAAATGAACAGACAGCTGTCGAAATAAACCCCTGAACTCGTGAGAGTTCAACCAAAGTGGACCTTGTGTTTAATTTATCGTCGCCTGAATTCGCTCTTCATTCCTGCCACATGAGGGCAGTGTCTGATCATTCGAGTTTTTAAAAATGTAAATATGAAAAACTTATTTCAGATGCTCTATGATATATACTGTAAAAGGCCACAAGAGGAGGTCAGTATTATGATATATACTGTAAAAGGCCACAAGAGGAGGTCAGTATTATGATATATACTGTAAAAGGCCACAAGAGGAGGTCAGTATTAAATATTATATATATATATATATTATATTATATTTTACAATTAAGCTATTTCATTTGCTACATACTACGTACAATAGGGCTGCATAGTATTGAAATTTTTTTCTTTATATATATATATATATATATTATAATAATATATATTTATATATATATATATATATATATATATAATGACTTAACTCTTTTTGCAAAGACTTTAGATTGATTGGGTTGATTTTATAGGGGAGTGAAATATAAATATATTTGTATTTGATTTAATAATACATTTAATAAACAAAATTGTAATAAATAAACAGTGGGGCAAATATTAAAGTAAAATAAACAGTGATTTATGGTTTTCTGTGGAGATTCTAACAGTATTCAGTTACAGAAACTGAATAATCAAATTAATAATGCATATTCTTCATCATATAAATGGTTTGATAAAATAAATCTTTATTAAACTTATTTGCGCTCAATTGAAATGCTTTGAACTCTCTTAAAATGCTTACATTGTCACAGGCCTTAAAAAAACATGCAAATGAGTAACTTTCACTCTATTATGCTTAAATTCTGCAGGATCTCTACAAGTCTCGTGTGTTTTGACCTGTGGTACCTGATCGTCTATAATCCTAACTCAACATTGCATATATTGTGATGGGATTATTGCGGACACACACATTGCAATATTGATGATCTGTGCAGCTCTATTATACATTGTATTTGCTTGGTTACACTTATTAATGCAACAAAAAAAATATTTGTATATATGAATTTATAATATAAGTAATTTAATATATTGGGTTCAATGGTTCAACCTTTGCCTTGATTTACTGAACATGATTTACAGCCAATAAAATGTCATTCAGTGTTACACTAGTTCATTAAATAGCTCAAATAAATGTCAGGCATATTTACAAGTATTATACTTGGTCGCTATCCTTTAAACCACTGGATTTTTCAACATTTTGAATAATATATTTGTAAAATTTATAGTTATATTATATTAAAATATAAAATGTAGCATGATCTCTTGGTATTATGTATATACAATTGAAGTCCAGGTGGTTCATTCTGCTGTTGTGACCCCTAAAAAATAAGGGACTAAGCTGAATGAATGGATGAATTGAAGCCCAATTTATTAGTCCTCTTGTTAATCTTTCATTCATTATAAATTTCAGTGAATTTGAACAGACCAAGGCCATTTTTACAATATTTTCTATAATAGTTCTTCTTCTCGTAAAGTCTTGCACTTGCAATTCACTGAATGCTAGTATCTTCCAAAATATGACCTAAAATAATACCACCATGACAAAGACAAAAGAAATGAGTTACTAGAAATTAGTTATTACAACTATTATGTTTAGAAATGTGTTAAAAAGTATCTAAACGGCACTTGGGGATTTTTTCTAAAAACTTCCAATTTCACAGGAGACTTCAACTGTGTATTAATATAGGTCAGAATAAATATTTAGTTTTATTTATACATCTGTTAGACTGAACATTATTTCACGCATTTGAAGTTTTCACAAAATCTACTCAAACCTTTGAAGCATACATTTGCACCGAATAATTATTCATTGAAAATAAAGTGACTTTTATAAATGTAATGTGACCACCAAAATGACTCATAAATAAATATGCGCAGACTTAAAAGCATTAATGGGACCAGCTGATGTAGTTTAATATTTTTTTTATTTGGTAATACTGTATATTTATCCGTCAAGTGAACGTCGACATGAGAATTACACAAAGCATCAAAGACATGCATAGTCTGCTTCTTCTACCACAGCTTTTGTCATGTGGTTCAGACACTAGGTCTCACATTCCTGCTCTTTTTCAGCAAATCATAAAAGAGAAAGACAAAAGACTGGTAAAAAAATAACACAATGATCATATAAATCAAAGGTAATAACGCATTTTAAAAAGTATAAACGTGAAAAACAAAATCATTTAACTTACGCCATTAGAGTTCAATAACAATTAATACAAAGCCATTTAAGTAGTTATAGCTCGATGCATATTAAACATTAACCTTTATATAGCCTATTCGTCCAAGCTTGTTTATGACAATGCTTCTGGTGTGAAGAAGAGAAGTGAGGATACTGAATCAAAAATCTTAATTTAAATCACACACAAAAAAGCGTTGTACGTTAATGCTGGAACACTGACAGCCAAAACGGAAAGGCGTGAATTGAACAATTACTTATTAAAGGGATTGTTCACCCAAACATATTTACTGACCCTTAAGTGCTTCCAAAATACTGTGGAGTTTCCAAAATGTTGTTAAAATACCTTCTTCTGGGGTCAAGAGAAGAAAGAAACTCGAACAGTTTTGGAATAAGTGAAAGGTTAGTAAGTTATGATAGAATTAACATTAATGGGTGGACTGTCCCTTTAAGAATGCTCCCTTTGTCAATACAAATGATCTCGGTGTTGAGTTTATACAATGATAGCGACGCATTAAATCGATCAACACTTTTATTGTTGCTTTCGTCAGTTCAACAGCGCTCTTCACTCCCTGTCTCTCAATCACTATAACCACATGGTTCACTCTGGCGAAGCGCCTAGCAACTAGTATTCAAACGCCTCGCCCTCAGTCAATCACATGACATGGCAATGCCCAATCAGAGGACAGCTGCAACAATCCAACTCCATGCCTTCCTCTCAAGCCGCCAATAAACTCCTGAGTTTATTGACAGCACAGGAGGAAGGAACATCGCTCTTTGTTTCCTCTTCCTCAGCGCATGCTTATAGGCCTGTGCTTTTGCATGCCAATCCAATCAGCCTTGTTTTACTCCAGGGGAAAAACCAAGGGTCTTCCCATTACCATGGCAACTAAAGTCTCGGGTACCTCCTCGGTACGTAAATGACACAATACAGAAGATAAAAAAGGAACTTAGATAATTGTAAGTCGTAAAGTAAAACAAGAACAAATTAAAATGAGTTACAAAAAAAAAAAAAAGAAAAGAAAAGAGGAGACAGTCCTCTTGGTTTTGTCTTTAAAAAGTGCAAATAGTATCACTGAACTATTAACGGAGGAATAAATGCACAAATTGTGGGCGTTCGAGACTAAGTATATATACAGACATATTGACAAAACAAATTAGGGATGGTTTATTTATAAATGTACGTAAAAACGTTGAATTTGTTGTATATTGCTAACACTAGAAACTGCTGTCAGATTATGTATCCTTAATTTTTTCAGGGGGTATACACGAAGGATGTGTTGTGAAAAGCAGTGGAGGTGAAATGAAGAACAGCTTCATATACAACAGTTCTGAAATTTGGTCAGCAGCACAATTTTGTTTCCGTCACAAATTCCTGACTAGCGACATTAACTTTGGTCTTTAATTTGCTTTTCCCTAAACCCCAGTTCTTTCCAGGTCCCCGCACATCTTTGAACTATCTGGGAAGTCCTGCCTCACCATTTATCTGAGTGGACCAATTGGCATGGCTTTGGGGAAATTACGCTACCTTCAAAAGTAATACTTTCACTACCACCCCATGTGGGTTTGAACTGGATTACCAGAAATTGAAAATACAAAATGAGCCGAGCGACTGCAGTTTTGGGAGATTGTAAAGAGATCCTTTGTGCAGAGAGAAATCTAAGCGCTGTTTTGGGGGGCAGAAAGTGCTCTCGTTTTAAAGGATTGTCCCACACCCGATGGAGAGCCAGCCTTGGGTGGGGTTGTTACATTCGCTTCATTCTGTCTCATGTTGCGATATCTAAAGAAGACTGTACACTAAATCTAGCCTGTTTCAATTTCAATTTGGTAGAGTTTTGTCTTTATGCCGATATTATGTTACACCTCATCTATGATTTTTGTAAGAATCTCAGATCGGGTGATGTGGAGAAGGGAGAGAGAGATGTTTTAAGGGTCTTCCACATCCAGAAACTCTTTTTTGGGAGGCGCGACTCCGCGGTACCAGGCGCAGGAGCCGTCTCCTCTCTTGATGCAGGCGTAGTGGTCAGACTGGCGCCCATGAATTATCTTCTCCGTCACCCAATCTGTCCACAGACACTCCTCTGGGGCGCTGATCTCGCATGGGAAGGTCGCACAGCGTGTGATCTGGGTTAAGCAAAAACAATGTTTGTAAACTGGGTGTGATACTGGGTCTGTTTTTTGTTTTAAAGCATCACGTGAGGTTGGCTAAATGAAATGTGCAAATGCTACATATATTATAACAAGGTAAATACTAATTGGGTAGGTGCTTACTACTCGGGTTCATCTCAAAGAGCATATTTAATATATACAGTGCAAGTAGTGTGTGTTGACATCTAAAAATGCAGAAAGATTTGAGGTGTCATATTTATGCATAGTATGATCCTCACAAGCTATTCTTGCACTAACTCCATCTAAACCTTTTTAATTTTACTTAAATATAATCAGCTTTGAAGGTTAAAGGATTTTAGCCCTAATGTGGTTGAACAGATTGATGGATAAACTCCTGGATAGTTGGATGGACTTACAGATGATTAGATAGATGGGTAACTGGATAGATAAACAATCTAATGTTTGGATGGATTGATGTACAGATAGATGGACCAATAGATATATAGATAAGCAGATAAATGGGTGGGTGGATGCTGGACAAAGTCTTGGAAAGTTGGGTGGACTTACAGATAATTGGATGGATGGGTGATTGGATAGATAAATAGTCGAATGTTTGGATGGATTGATGTACAGATGCATGAACCAATAGATAACCAGATAAATGGGTAGGTGGATGATGGACTTACAGATAATTGGATTTATTGGTGATTGGATGGATAAGTAATCGACTGTTTGGATGGATTGATGTACAGATGGATGTACCTATTGATAGACAGATAACCAGGTAAATGGGTCGGTAGATGATGGATAAACTCTTGGTTTGTTGGGTGGACTTACAGATAATTGGATAGATGGGTGATTGGATGGATAAATAGTTGAATGTTTGGATGGACTGATGTATAGATAGATGGACCAATAGATATATAGACAAATAGATATATGGATAATGGATGGGATGGATGGATAGACTGGTACTTCGATGGATGGATGAGACAGACAGACAGACAGTTTGACTAATAATTGGAGTAATGGATGAACAAGACAACTGGATAGATGGATGAATTGGTACACTGATAATCAGATGGATAGATAATCGGATGAATGGGTGAATAATGGTTGCATAGACAGACAGACACAGGCAATAATACATTTAGGGTTGGATGGAAAGATAACTGGATGGATGGATGGATGGACAAGCATATGATATATAACTGGATGAATGGATGGACTTATAATCGGATGGATCAATATAACTGAATGGGATGGATGGATGATCTGGCACTTGATATTTAATTGGATGGACAGATGGATATAAAGGGGGGGTGAATAAATAGACAGAAAGATTAATTTGCCTGTCATTCTAATTCAAAATCCCATTTTGCGTCCCTCAGGTCATGACCAGTTCAAATAAAATGAAACAGAGCCAACTGTTCAAACTCTGAATTTTGCTCAGCGCTTGTTGACAGTATGTTTTACAGTGATAATTATTATATGTCCCTCCAAAGTTTAATATCCTCACCTTGCAGTCACACCCCATCTGATAGCGCTGACTAAGGCTCTTCTTCTGGGTGGCACTCATGGATTCCCAGGGCATGATGAGATCACACAGAGTCACGTGCATCTTACCGTTGGCCTCCGCCTTGCCTGAAAACACACAGTGTGCAGACAAAACAAACTGAACAGTCTGTCAACATCTGATAGTCATGGGCACATCAAGACTCAGCAGACAAAACAACAGCACAGCAGAATACAATAACATGTCGCCACATTTACCAAACGCCGCTTTGTTCTAGAATAAACTGTACCCTTCTGTTAGTCATCTACTGTTCTTTATTATGACTGAACCACATTACGGAGGTCATCACAGAGTCAGCGACAGAATTTTGGTGAAAAACACTACACACAAAAAGCTTTTTGTTGAAGTATAGCCAACCACAAAGTTCACAGAATGGGAGGGAATGTACAAATACAATGACATAAACAAGCTATTTTAGCTCTGGTTACAATTTGAAACTTGTGCAGTTTGTGCTCAGTGTGGAGAAGTCGACGTGTGCCCTGAAAACACAACCTCAGCAGTTACTCCACACTACAGGATCAGCTCTCTCATTATTTTACCTCCCCTCCTCCTCGAAAACTTGGGCTTTAAAGGCAATTGCTACCCTCCACAGACCTCTGCCTTGTCAACTCTGTAATTTGGGCTCTGCTGGAATGGGCTAAGATGGGGAAACCAGAAGTTTCTGTGTTCATCTTTTGTCGTTCTTTTATATTCTGTGTTTTTTCCCTTCGGAGTTGCCTGCTCAGCAAGTTCATTAGAAAAAGAGGAGAGGAGCTGAAATCCAGCTATAAATTCAGCACATTGCACATCATCAACTCACAGTTTGTAAACTTCTGTCCTGTCTGAAAATGGATGGCCTCGAGTGGAGCACGAGCCAACTGGCAAGTTCTTTGCTGTGAAGGCTGTAAGCAATAGTGTTGTTTTGTGGATTGACTACACTGTAAAAATTTCTGTTAATTAACAGGTTCTGTTTGATTCATAGTTTTCTTATTTATTTATGGTTCTGAATTGCATAGATTATTTATCGATTTTTAGTTTGAAAAAGTATGAATAAAGTATGAATAGATAGAAAGTTTAATATCTAGTTTTACACAGCCTGACAGCAAATTCAGATGTGGAATATCACATGTTTATAAGTATTTCTCATTTGGAGATATGATGTGTTAAAGTTGGTTGCAATGGTAAGTTGATGGGACTTTTCGGAGTTTTCCGGGACAGTTTTTGAAAAACCGAAAGTCGGATCAGTTAGAAAAGATATACCATGCCAAGTCAGACCAGTCTTAAGGTCTGACCAAAGTTTGTTGGTCATAACATTAAAGCCCTAGGAGGAGATATAGTCCGAATTTTTAGTCTCAGAATAATAATAATAAGTTTAAACAGAATTTCAATAGGTTGGCTTTCTCAAGCCAACATAATTAGGTCTGTAAAATAACTAAAAAAGTACTGGCAGTCTATTGCCAGGTTTTTGTACAGTAATTTCCAACATCAACCCACTTCAAGCTATTAAACATGTCAATAAAAGTAACCTTTTCAAACTTGTCAACATCAAAAGTTGTCGGAGCAAGATCAAGGTCCCATAATGCAATACAAAAGGATAAATAAATGAAAAACATCAATCCCAATATATGGACAACAGAGATATTACAGATATTTTTTTCCCAGTGTACATTTACTTGCCCAAAACACAATTTTTACCTGAGATGAGATACTCCTTCTTGCCGTTTGTGTCCAAATTGGTCACTCCACACACTGCAGATGAGGGCGCAGTAAAGACCACGTCAATGTGGCGGTCCGGGCCTTTGAACATCTGCATAAGGACAACAAATCTTTTAATCCAATGAAAGACATTTCCAATGTTGGATAGATTTTGACAGCTGCCATTTTCGTCCCTCACCTTGATCTGCTTTATCTCATATTGGATCCGCTTGATCGGGTTCCCATAAATATCGTTCCCAGAATCCACTTCTTTATTTCCAACCACCTTGGCTCTGATTACTGGAGAGAAACGATTCATGAATGGGTTATTTTTATTAACTGCAAAAACAAAGTATTATAAATGCTATAAGTAAAAATAAGACCATCAGACACTGTAAAAAGCAATTAGTGGAATGAGTAAACCTGTACCCTAAAATTATTAAGTAAATTGATCATTAAAAATAATTAAGTTAACTTAAGTTAACACTTCAAAATACTGTGGGTTTACTAATCAATAGTAATAGCCAAAACCAGTTTAAACTAGGGCTGGGCCTATAAACGATATTATATTGAACAGCAATAAAATTTATGTCAATAACAATAATAAGCTCTGGACTTTCTTTTACTGTATACAGATTTAAGAGCCAATTGCACAGCAGAAATATGCAACAATGGGAATTTTGAAATGTGGTGATATTAGAGATGTACCTAATTTTCAGCCACTGAAAATGTATCGCCTGAAAATTTTATGCCGTTTAATGGACCCTCTAATTTTTGTGGCTTTAGTCATTGTTGGGGTACTCTATTAAATCTGGAAACATTAACAACTTATATCGAAAAAATATTGTTATCGTTCCATATAGAAAATAATTATAGAGATTGCATACTTGCCATATCGTCCAGCCCTAGTTCAAACACAATAAATCTGTCTTAATGCACTTGATGAACCTCCCAGTTTGAACTGATTGCTGTCTATATTTTCAGAAAGTGTTTAAACCAGTGCAGTTATATGAACTAGTTTAAAAACAAATGAAAGAAAATGTAAATTATGAGTTGAGAATAACATGACTAAAAATGTATAACTGTTTTCCAAAATATATATTCAAATTTATCTGTATGATAAAAGCCCAACGCATCGAGAAGGAGACGCATTTTCAAACATAAACATATTAGCATGGGCACGACCAAGCTAAAATTGTGTGACTGAAACATTTCCAAGATGGCCACCTTGTTGTGACTACACCAATTTCTGTTAGCATAGCATTTCTCCAAGCAGGGGATTTCCAGTTCCCGGCATGCTTTACACTGGAGTAATGGGGTGAGTAAAGGCTGAGTGTTGTTTGAATGCTTTTTGAGTAGAATTAGAAAAGTGGAGGTGCTTTTTATTGCTTTGTTTTGTTGGAATATGACAGAAATTCTGTTATGTGATGGTGTTTGGATCACCATTGTGGAAAGCTTGTGTTTAAGAGTTATAATTCTCATGCTTGAATGCTCTGTTGTTAGCATTAGTTACAGTTGAATTAGTTTGGCGTGTCAGCATTTCATCATTTAACCTAATCCAGTCTCCGTTTACAGTTTAATTAAATGTTAAGAAAACCCATTTCCAAAGTTTGAAGCTACTGTCAACAACTATATTAAGTTCAGCTAAAGACTTCATTTTCTGAGTGTGGAGTTTTCTGAAAGTTTTTCCACCTCTATTTGGACTTGGTAAAATATACAAACTACAGCACGAGGCCTGGAGAGATTCTGTCTCGTCATCATGAAAAGATGAAAAGGCATATGACTCCGGTACGGTACTTTCTCCATGCCACCTCTCATCTGAGGCCTTGTCTAAACACCAGCGAGAGGTCTCTCATATAAAGAGAGTCATGCCCTCAAACCCAAATCTCATTTCCTGCAAGTTGAGCGTTTGCAGCTGTCCGACTTTTCTTTAGCTTTCTTTGTCAGGTCAGCCAACATGCGGCAGAGAAGCTGACACATGACAACCTTACGCTGACTCATTCATTCTCCTGACTCCTATATTCACCCTTATTTTCCTTCATCCTTTCTAAATGGTTGTTTTTTTTATTCACAAAAAAATAGCATGGACATTATGTGATTTAAATGAAGCATCTTTAGGACTCACTGTCTATGCTTTTGACAATCTCCAAATTTCCTCCATATCTGCCTTGTACAGACAGCTTAGCTTTGACAGATGTGTAAACTGAGATGCAAATCTTCTAAACTGTCTATTACATTAAACTTAGCTGCTTATACTAAAAGAGCAGATGTTAAACAATGATTTCATGCTTTATTGTTTGCGATAAACTCTACCAGATTAGATTTTAGAGATCTTTTAAGTGACTTTATGATGCATTGTAAATTTAAACATTTGTGATAATGGATTCTTCTCATTAATGATGTCAAACACAGATATGCTGTATTTGTTATTGATAGATGGGAGAGAAGCTGTATTGTTTACTTGTTGGTCTTGTCTACATTTGCCTAGTAAACCAACGAGGAAACTATTACAGGCTAAAGTTGCTCTCACGGCTAAACTTGTCTTAATAAATGGGTAGATCAAGTCGCTGCTTGAAAAACTGTTTGCTAAGTTGTCCAGATATATACTGGAAATCACACTTTTTGCAGTGTATTCACCCATAAATAGCCAGTTCCACAGTGTACATAGCCATTTGGTGACCTAAAATGAGAAGCAGTGTCAATATGCAACATTTATTTGTGTTGGCAATGCCTCTGGCAAGATCAAGAAAGGGGAACAGATATTTTAGGATTCTGGGGTATTTCATGTGCATGTCAGCTGCACATTGCACAAAATGAACCAACAGCAGTGACAAAGATTTATTGTCTTTATTTATGCATCAACTAACGCAGTTTCTTCCAACTGGGTTATGTGTGTGTTCTCACACTTGTAACACACCAAGAATATTATATTTTTATTTTGGTTCACTTAGTGTTCACACTATGATTTTTAGGGCTTACCTTAGGATATAAAATAAAAATAAATGCTTTTATGATGTGTTTTGGGTGGTGCGGTGGTGCAGTGGGTAGCGCTGTCACCTCACAGCAAGAAGGTCGCTGGTTCGAGCCTCGGCTGGGTCAGTTGGCATTTCTATGTGGAGTTTGCATATTCTACATGGGTTTCCTTCTGGTGCTCCAGTTTCTAAATTGTCTGTAGTGTATGTGTGTGAATGAGAGTGTATGGGTATTTCCCAGTGATGGATTGCAGCTGGAAGGTCATCCGCTGCGTGAAACATATGCTGGGTAAACACATGCTGAATGAATGAATGATGTGTTCTGAACACGCTTGTTGTATGTGTGAACATGGTGGACTTTTTCAGTTAGCTAGTGAATAGCTTTTAAAATGTGTAAGGACACACGTTTATAATGCCTGTATTGAATTTTATTTTGGAAACATATCAACTATGTCAAGAAAAAACAGACATGCTTGAGCATTCAGAGGATTTTATGGTTGCATTTTGTGACTGTATGCTTATTTTTGGTTTGTTTAGGTCCTTGTTGTATTTGTATTTTACATGGAAGTAGAACTATAGCGCTATAGAGCCAGTATAGCACAATCGAACCAGAGTTAGTTTTCATTGCACTTGGACTGCCAAGTGAGGAAACACCCTAAGGCAGTGGTTCTCAAATTTTTTTCATCAAGTACCACCTCAGAAAAAAATTATCTCTCCAAGTACCACCAAAAAGAGCAGTATTGAAATACAGTAGTATAGTAGGCCCAGTAAAGCAGCTACAACTCTGCACAGTTAAAAAATGTGGCAAATTACCTCAGAAATATAAGCTATATGTCATTTATGGCATACTATATACATCATTTTTGATCAATTTTGAAATATATGTAGCATGTACATGCCATATTTCATTCCTCCGCGTACCACTAGAAGGAAGCCCGCGTACCACTTGTGGTACACGTACCACAGTTTGAGAACCACTGCCCTAAGGTACATTGGGAACTGAATAGTAATGACACAATGCATCACCATAGATGTAATTGTTGCAGAAATAGCAAAAAATGTCCGCAGATTCCGTCTGGCCCTTCTGAGAAGATATAGACGTCTGGGAAGATATAGACAAACAAAGTCATATTTACAGTTTTTGCCACAAAACAAGTGTTCTCGGAGCTTTGTATGATTACAGTTGATTCACTAAAGACACATGCAATGGTGAGAAACATTTTTGGTTCCTTTTCTGAACTTTTAACTCATCAAGGGTGCGTTTCCCAAACAACGACATAACTCACGGCTGAACTATCATAGTACGATGCATCGTTTGGGAAAAGAACAATGTATTGATGAGTGTTTCCCAAAACCCATAGTTTCTCTGTCGCAGATTCATTGTTTGAACTACGTTAGTTATAACGGAAAACGTTTATTATGACACTCTAAACCGGCTGGAATAACAATTTCCTAATGTTTTGTGAAAAATTATATTCTTTTACACGCACACACATTTAATAAATATCCAGTATTAGTTTTGTTAAAACATACACTGTTTCCATATTAATTGAAATATACAGTTGAAGTCAGAATTATTAGCACCACAGAATTATTAGCCCCCGTTTATTTTTTCCCCCAATTTCTGCTTAATGGAGAGCAGATTTCTTCAACACATTTCCAAACATAATAGTTTTAATAACTCATTTTTAATAACTGATTTATTTTATCTTTGCCATGATGACAGTAAATAATATTTTACTAGAAATTGTTCAAGAAACTTCTATACAGCTTAAAGTGACATTTAAAGGCTTAATTAGGTTAACTAGGCAGGTTAGGGTAATTAGCAAATTATTGTATAAGTATGGTTTGTTCTGTAGACTATTAAAACAAAAATAGCTTAAATGGGCTAATAATTTTGACCTTAAAATGTTTTTAAAAAAATTAAAAGCTGCTTTTATTCTAGCCGAAATAAAACAAAGACTTTCTCCAGAGGAAAAAATATTATCAGACATATTGTGAAAATTGCCTTGCTCTGTTCAACATTATTTGGGAAATATTTAAAAAAGACAAAAAAAAAAAAAAATTTTTTTAAAGGGGGCTAACAATTCTAACTTCAACTTTATGTAAATGGCACATATAGGGCTTTTATGTTTCTTTAACAAATATTATTGAGAATATCCCATATTCTATTTTAACATAAAACCACTTGGCTAACATGTATTCTAATCTCATATATAAAACATAAATATAAAAAAATCATACTTGATAATAATAATAATAATAATAATAACTTATTGCTATTTTTATTATTATTAAGTTGAATCTTATTTATTAATTGTAAATATC